ATGAAGAATTAGGTTTGCCATGAAAACACTCCACCACTCTGAGGCACAGTCACGCTTCTTCTCTAAAGGGTTAGGGAGATCCCGAAAGCTCATTTGTGATGGGCGCTTAGATGACACCAGTGGACACTGGCACTGCCTAGCAAAAATACATGTGAGTGTGGTTTCTTGCTCCAATGTGTGGTGCACACCGGGATGGGGTCATTACCTGGTGATTCTGTTCTACTCCACGCCCTCCATGCAGATGCAGCTGTCCCAGACCAACCTGAAAATCAACAGACACAAGGCAAAGGCAAGTGGCAGCATCTCGTATGGTTAGCACGAGACCAACAAGAAAGCATTTGGTCATAAAAGGTTTCTGCTCATGACTCAAAATTAGACATTCAGTCTTAAGTCCTGAAACTAATTATTCTACAATTTCTAAGAACTAAAAGAGTATGCTTTGAAACTGAATTTATCCTCAGTGAAGCTGCTCTAAAGGAAATTCTTAAAAGATGCTGTTCAGGGAAGAGGCAAAAGTGTCTATGAAGTTTTGAGAGGCAGCAAAGGGAAAAAAAGTAAATTTATTTTTTATTTTTTCTGCGGGACCGGGGATTGAACTCAGGCCCTTGAGCTTGCCAGGCAAGCACTTATCCTACTGAGCTATCTCCCCAGTCCCCCAAAAAGTAAATTTAAATAGGTATGTGAATATAAACCAATACTTTCTCAGGTTCAAATACACTGGAATTCAAACTGGATGTGACAGCACATGGCCGTAAACCAGCACGCTGGAAGGCTGACATAAAAGGATCACAAGTTTGAGCCCAGCCTGGGCAACTTAGTGAGTTAGTGAGGGAATGATGGGGCGGGGGGATTTAAAAAGGACAGGGGATGGAGGTCAGTACGAAAGCCACAAGTTCATTCCCCAGTGCCATCAGAAATAGAAAAGGGCAGGATGGGGTGGATCAAGTACTGCAACCCTGGAAACGTACAGGGGCTGAACTCTGCGTAACCACCGAGAGCAATGAAAGGCTGACGGCACCGGGAAGTGGAGGCAGCTAGAGGCACATGCAGCAAGAGGGACAGAGGGCAGACACGGGAACATGGGAAGGCACAATAACTGAAAACAAGGCAGAACACTTAAACCAAAATACATCATTAATGTAAAAGAAAGATGTTTAGTGACATAAAGTAACTTAGTTAAAATTCACAGGTTTTATTCAATGACTTCCTTCTGTTAGCCTTCGTTGTTCTTAAGTATTTACTACTTATTTTTATATATTCTAAATCAGAAAAACTACAACCATAATGGAAAAAAGTCATTGAAGTTCTTATTGTACTCCATCAAAATAAGTCACAAAAAACACACACACTTGAATTGAGTGATGAGTATCATACAATTTGAACCACCCTATTTCTGCTCTTGACCTTGAGGTAATCATGACCTAAGATAAACACAAGAAACTCAAACAGTAAACAGCTCCGAAGAGCATCTGATATTCCAAAAATCCCAGCTTCTCGGATACAGGAAGTGAGGTTCACCCTTTGTACTCCGGTGGGAGCCTTCACTCTCACTGGCAAGACTTGGTTCAAGCAATGCCTTTCAGTTATGGGACAGGGAAGAGTCACATGAGCAGCTTTTAGGAGCTCTCAACGCCTGGGCCCCATCCTGGAGGAGCTCAAATGGAACCTTTGGAGCATATAGAACCCTTGGTATTTCTTTTAATACTCCTCAGGTGACCTTAATATGTAGCTAATAACTGCACAGAGCTGTGACAATGCTACCTACAGAGGCGAACACGTCTCTTCCCCCTGTGTTAAAGTACATAAAACAGGGGGAAACTCTTCTAGACATTTAAACACATACTTGCGCTTGTACATCACCCTTTTCAGCTAGGAACTGGTAATACTGAATCAAATCTTCTTCTAGCATCCCACTGTTCATTCCTGGGTTTTCTACTTCATCAGGCAGTCGTATTCTCTGCACCACGGAGCCGCCTGTTAGTGAGATATCACTAGCCACTGCAACAGGAGACAAAGCGGGGATCATGGGACAGTCAGAAGAGCTGTCTCCCTGAGAAGTACAACCCCAGCTGCCAGACGCTCAGACATGATGTTAACAGAAATGATTTCTACAGAAGTCTATGGATTATAAACTAGTAAGGTATTAGAAAATGAGAACTTCTCCACAAAATATTTAAGATACAGAATTCAAAAATGTCAACAAATGTTCTTAATTAAAGATGAGTCTAGTTAAGGAGCCAGTCATATTTCAAATACAATAAAAACAGATGTATTTAAATTTATTTCTATTTTCTTTTCCTGGAAGGTGAAAAGGAAATAAAAATAGCTACCATGATTGGCAACAAGACGATAATGGGTCAGTGCAGATTCACAGCTCTGGAGGACTCCGATGCCAGCCCAATACCGGTACCCCTGAAAGACACCTTCGGGTGAGAAGCAGGCAGTTTCACTGGCCAGAAGCATTATTCATGGAACGAACTGAGCTAGCCACGCTTGGGTGCTATTCTGCTGTCCTATGATGCAATACGTGAACATCTCATGTACAGATCTTTAAGTTCTGAGGTAATGCAGCAACTTCAATAGACTATAGTTAGGCACTAAAAAACAGAATTCCTAAAGCAATCAAAATAAGTGCCATGAACTTCACATGTACAGTGTGTGCATTTTACTAAAGATAAATTACTAAGACTTATGCTTAGAGGCAATTCTTATTTTTTTAAATGTATTTGGTACAGTCTCACTATGCAGCTCGGACTTACAGTGAGCCTCCTGTTTTCAGCTTCCCCAGTGCTGGGATTGCACGCACGCGCCGCCATGCCTGGTCTCAGGGGCCAGCTCAGTGCGCCTGGGGGTGGGGCCAGAGCGGCATGTGGTGCTGTGGACCAAACCCAGGCCCTGTGCTTGCCTAAGCAGGCAGTTAGTCCACTGAGCTATCTTGTTGGCCCTTTAACCTTATTTCAGACACAATCTTAATGCAAATGCATTCACCTTTCAAACTAGCAAATAACAAATCAGCAAAACAGGAAAAGTGAGACTAGTAGAAGCATGCAGAGTAACACCAGTAATAAGTGATTTCAGCACGAAGCGGGAAGAGGGGAGGGAAAGGGAAAGAGTACTACAGACTGCAACCATAGACTGATAAAAATAAAAAAGGAAGGGTGGAGATTATTAATTTTTAAAAAATACAGAAAACAGAAAGCAGAACTCTGAAATCACTGTACAAAATGACTTTGTAGACTCTAATAATCTGTATGGCATTACTTGATGATAACATGCATAATGTTAAATAAGCCAAATCTGGATTCTTACTTAAGATTGGTAAACATAATTTGAAAGGGAATTGCATGAAAATATCTACTACAAATTTGCCACATAAAAATAGAAGTTTCGTATTTCTTGAAAATTCATCTGAAAGGGAATTTTCAATCACTATTTCAGGAATAAATGTTATTGTACATTACAAACAAAAAATGGAAACAACATCAAAATTAGTGAGAGATGTTTCTGGAAGTCAGAGCAGCACTCTGGTTTTCTGTGTGCTTCAGCTTCTTCAGTGGTGTGGGCGGTAGCAGGACGACCTCCCAGCTCGTCAGAAGGACTTGCAGCCCTTTTGGTGGGCTGCACATGGCCGCCTCGTCACTGCCGGGGTTCTACTCCTCAGCTACCATGGAGTGTCGATGTATTTTTTTTTTTTGTAAACACTACACTCCCTCATGATGCTGTCCTGTGGCCTGGGAACCCTTCTGCTGCTTCTGATCACGTACTACTATTTCTCCCTCAAAAGACCCCTTTGCTATTTCCTGCCCCAGCCAGAACACCTTTCACAAACTCGGTAACATTCTGTACCGTGCTATAGTACTGTACTACTGTGCTCTGCTTATGTCTCCCTTTCTTGTTTTTTTTTTTTTTT